TGTATGCTAGATTAGGGTTTCTAAATCTTGGATGAATTGCATGTACAATAGAGAAACCTAGATCCAAGTATTAGGGTTTGCATGAGCACATAGGAAAGTTCTTGCGTCAAAAACCCATAAATATGTTACTAAGGGCTTAATGTGATATTTAAATAGGTTTTGAAAAGGATATTTATCAAGTACACTAAGTGAAGTCTAGAAACCAAAGTGATAGTTTTCACTAACTATTACTTTTTCTTAGGGATACATGGCTTAATTGATTTAGAACTATGCTTAAATATTCTTTTTATAAGAGTAAGTAATGTTTATATTTATGTTGTATTCATGAAGTATCTATTATATGTTGGTGTGGTTGGCGATATAGGACCACAAATATCCCCATGCACGTATTCAAGCCATTGCTTTGCTTTGAAAGTTGTTTTTGTTGGGTAGGGATTGGATGTTTGTTTTCTAGCCAAACAATCTTCACATGGGGTAGTGGGTTTATTAAAATTAGGTAATTTGTCCACCATATTTGCACCAAATATGTGTTTTAGAGCCGACAAACTTACATGGCTCAAACAGTTATACCACAACCATTTTGGTGTGATCGTTTCACCAAGTAAACACAAGGGCTCTTATCCATCTAGCAAGATTTTATACATGTTATTTTCATATTATAAAACCTTCATTAGTAGCCTTATTATTTCATCATGAAACCACATGTAAGGACTATGTGTCACCATTTTGAGCCAACTGTCCCTAACTAATAATATTGTTGCATAGTCTTGACTTCTTTGAGGTCCCGATGCTCACCATTCTTACATTTAAAAATGATAGAATCCCTTCCTTTTATTAGAACTCTAGAACAATAGCCAAACTTGACAAAACCTTTAACTGATTCATCAAGTTTTCGAAACTTAACTCTTGCATTGGTCATGTGGTCACTAGCGCAATTGTCAAGACACCATATCTTAAACCGGTTTGACACTTCATCTTCCCATCTTATCCTTGGGTTTTATTTTTCTAAGTTTAGCATGATTTCATATTTAGTGTCTTGTGAGTAACAAGTCTCGTTCAACATCATTGTGATATTGGGTTAGATTTACGTCTTGGTTCCTTTCTCCTCGTGGTTATTACATTCAGAAGCATAATGCATGTAATATTGGCAATTATAACATTGTATCTTGTTTTTTTCCATGACGTTGAGATTGATTTTGCAAATGATTACCTCAGTTTTGATGATTTTCTCCATCTCTTCCTTGACCTCCACAATTGCTTGAGTTGCTCCATTGATTCTTACCCGTCCATTTGCTTCAAGATTCGTTCTGGACAATTCTTCACGAGTTAAGATCAACTTTTTTCTCATTCATCTAATGATGCACTTTAATGCGTATCTCATGTGAGTCTTCCAACTACTTCATCAATGCACATGGTTTCAAGATCGGAAAATTGCTCGATGGTATAAATGTGATCTAAACAAAATTTGAGGGTATGATTCATAAGATATTCTTGACCACATATGTTTCATTTAAGGTATCACCCAACGTTTGTATATTAATTACAATGTTGTTGATTTTTTTTCCCAAAAAAAATCATTTGACTCGAACTCTATCATGGTTAGAATTTTAAATTCAGCTTTTCGAGATTGTGCCTTTGCACACTTCTTTTGTCGTTTGCTTCTCCGCCATCGACAATAATCTCTTATAGGATGGAGTTTTTAACCATTTAAGTGTTTTTGAAAAAAATATTTACCCAATGGGTGTACTTTTAAACATATTTACTATAATGAGTTTTTTGGTAATTCAGTAAAAAAAAAAAAACAACAACCGTGCCCTAACTCTCATTCATTCTAACGTGATTTTCACCCGATTGATAGGAAGAACGCACTCGGCCAGACCTTCTTCTCCGGCAGGACCTTCGTCTCCGACGACTCCAAGGCTGTCGGCGGTAGCAACTTCACAGAATAGAGAAACAATTGGCAGTAACGACTTCAAGAAGTTCGAAATCTTCAATCACATGTTCGATAATTTAACCTTAATCTCAATCAGTTCGATTATTTGAGTTAAAGAACCGATTCTATTGCACCTAAATGTTCGATTTCTGTATTTTTTTTTTAATTTCCATCACAGGTTTGATTTTTTGAACCTTAATCTTCAATAGCCGATTGTTTCTCTATTTTGTTTTTGTTACTGAAACTTTTGATTCCAAATGTAATAGCTTCCACCACAATTACGATTTATTGTCTACATTTGTGAGTATTTGAGATTTTCTATGAACGCAATTAGATTCCATTCCACGAAATTTGTTTAAACTAAATTAGATTTTCTTGAATATTCAGTGAATGAAATTAGATTTGTTTAAACTAAATTAGATTTTCTTGAATATTTGAGTTTTAGTTTCTGTTCTGATTGTTATTTTTTATATTTTGTTGGTATTTTGTTGGTAGATGGATGCTAATATCATCTCAAACATTGTTCAAAATGAGAATTTCTATACAATCTCCCAAGTTGTTGTTGCAAGCAATGCAATAACAAATGATAATGAAGTTGATGCAAATGAAGCGTTTGAAGAAGATAGCATAGGAGAAGAAGATGATGAAGATGCCTTTGACAACAACTTTCAATTTCCTTCAACTTTTACTATTAGGGTGCGTTTTGTACATAGAAATAGAATTGAACCAAATAATGGAAATGGAGAAAGATAATTAAATTAGAGAAAGAGAATTGATTCTAATGTTTGGTATAACATAGAATTCATTGGAGAAATATACACCATAATCAATTCTCTTGTTTGGTTGTAGTAAACAATAAAATATAAATGAATATTTTTTCATAATATTTATCTTTTTAGAAAAAACATTTTTTTAAAACAATATCATTATAATTTACACATTAATGTATCATATTATGTATTTTTATATACTAATTTTTTATTTTCTCAATGAGTTTTTATAATTTACATATCAATTTATTTTGTAACTATTCAAATTTTAATTGGTTTTCTTGAATACTTTTTACCAATATTGATAGGTTATACAATTATAAAAATAAAAAAAAAATGCAATCCTTAATACTCGTATTGTTAGTTTTTAGCTTTTGATGAAGTTCATCTTTAACCTTTAACATACTTGATTACCATCAAACATTAAAGAATAAATTGGTAAAACAATGTAATTAAAAAATTCAAGTTGCAGTAAGCCTTGTGATACAAATTATGAACTTAAATAGAAACAATGTATACCAAACACTCTTAGGGAGGAGGGAGTCATTCCCTCTCAACCCACTGAACCCACTAACAAGACTTCGAAATGGAATTGACATTAAAGAAGGAAGAAAAGCGAACTTTTATGGAATTTGTAAGCAAAGTAGTTACAATCGAAAAAAATGTCCGTCTAAACCAAAGTAAATTAAGACATTCAACATTTTTTTGGTTCATTCGTGTAACTTTATATCTTATTATTATTATTATTATTATTATTATTATTATTATTTTGCAGATTGTGGTTATCGAACCACAGTTATTTGGAATGTTTCTTATTTTCTTTTGTTTTTGGTAACAAACGATTGTTGGGTTTGTACTTAAAATATTTTGCTTATGAATTTTTCTAGTTTGAGATGATGTTTGTTAGTTTAAATTTAAAAAGTTGTTGGTTAATCTAAATTTTAAAAGTTGTTTCTTGGTTTTTATAAGAAGATTTGTTACTTATAATGATGTTTGTAAAAAACAACTAAAAATCATTAAAAGCAAAATGGAAAAAAAGATTATATTAAATAAATAAATAATTAATTACAGTGAAAGTTTAAAATACATATAAAAGTTTAGAATACATTTAAAATGGTTTTATTTTGTGATCCACGATGGTATGGATATGAAAGAAGGAAAAGCAAAGTATCATTAAAAACTAAAATAATATACTAAATAACCCTATATGGTAAATATGTTTAAAAATATACTTATTGAGTAAATAAGTTTTTCAAAAACACGTATATGATCAAAAACTCTATAGGATAGCAACCATTGTCATTTTGTCCTTCTTGACACCTACTGGGTTCTTGGATACTTAGGCTCAATTCCATCTCATACTTACCGAGCTTACTAGGAGACTTTCATTTATTCCCATGTCACATAGTTGCTCCTAGTTAACACAAGATAGTGCATCTTCGGTCTTTCCATGGTGGGGTTTCAACTGAACAACTTGGTTGGCTCTGATACCAAGTCATTAAGTGAAAAGGTAATAATCTGATGTTACCTTGGGAATCATTCTCGAGGTACAAGTCGAGAGCAATAGAGGAAAGAAAGAACATAGGAAACAGAAGAATAATAGGAAAGAAAAGATATTGTAATTACCTGTTAAACAAGGTCTTTATTTCTAGGAATACTAAATAAAATTACATAAAAATAATCTTTATTTTTACTAATTAAACTAGAAACCTAAACCAACACAAAAGTATTGAAAAAATTGAAAGTTTCTGAAAAAATGAAAAGTTTCCCAAAATGCATTACGCCAATAAATCAGTGATAATACACAGTTGATATCTAACTTATTTTAGAGTGATAATACACAATTGATATCTAACTTATTTTAGAAATGACAGTTGTTGTACACATAATTATTTTAATTAGAAATTGAAGGTTTTTATTAGTGATGAACATCGACAGAATAATTATGAAACTCCATAAGCACAAACCTAAGCAGGCTTAGCACGATAAAAGTGACCGTATATCAATATAGTCAAAACACATCAACAATATACAACACACCTACTTTATATATAGTTCATACCACATTATTTGACTTGATCAACAACTATTTTGATTTTTTTCATTCATAAAAAAACATACATCCGTACTATATTCAAGAATTTGATTAGTAATTACATACTATTTAAAAGTAAACTTATAATTAAAAGTATAATACATGGTTATATACACACGAGAGCATATAATTAAACCTTTTAAAAACAAGAGAACTAATTACTATGCCTAATAACATGTAGAAAATGAAATCTTTGTTATTGTCAAGCACATGATATACCAAGAGAAGTTGGCATAAACCGATCAGAACCTGTTCTTGTGATCAATAACTTCATGTCGGGTGAAAGCCGATCAAACTCTGGCATGGTCTCTGACACCTCTGGTATGGTGTGGAGAGCACTAGAAGTATCATAAACGTAAAAAGCTCCATCTCTTGATGAGGTATGGTGGTTATGTCTAGGCCGGAAAACTGATCGGATGAGCTTGTTGAGGGAGCGACTGAGTCTGAAGGGTTTCTTGGAGGTGGGTTTGTGGTCGAAAGGTGGTGGTACTTGGTGGCGGAGGGAGGAGGAGGAGGAGGAGGAGGAGGAGAGGTGGGGCATTGACATGGTCCTGGAGGATATTGCAGAATCAAGTTGTCGTTTGAAAGATTTGAGTTCAAAAGAGTCGTAAAGAGAGCTTTCGCAGTCCCATAATTCACGTTTGGGGTTGGTTTGCGGGGTTTGTGTTACTTTCTCCATCTTTCCACTTTCCATTTCTTCAAAATTTATCAAGGAGAAGAAGAGTACATGTCCTTGAAAATTAATTATATAGAGAGATGGAGGAGAGAGAAAATACATGGTTTTACTTTCTTATGATATGATTAAATGATAGTTGATTACATAATCAGTTAGTTATATAAAATGAATGATGTACGCGAGGACACCAATAATCAAATTACAAACTGACGATAATCATTGTATTCTACTTTAAAGAAAGCGTCAATCTTTTATTTTTACCTTTTTGAGAGGTTTTGATTAATATACAGTATGAAATATTAGACAAACTTAGTTGATAGTCGTACCTGGTAGAAAATATTTAGTAGAATTTTTTTTTTAATGTATGATTGTTATTTTGAATATACTACTAACAAAATTTAAATATATTAATTATTATTATTATTATTATTATTATTATGACTCGAATGTAATTTTATATTTATAGATAATAACCTAAAATGTATGGTATATATTGATAAAAAAAAATAATAAAGTATATCGTTATGCAACAAAAATAACATGGTCACACTAGTGACTAATATCCCCTAAATTGTCATTTAAACCTTTTTTAATTAATTAAAAAGGAAGTATTTTGTTGACCTTTTGTATTTTTTTGTATTGAGATTAGATTGTGAGCTGAGTAGGTGTGAAAACAAAAAGAGCATTAGAGATCACGACCTTGGAATACAGACCATTGACATGAATGAGTTGTACATATGTTAGTTAATTGAATTTGAATTCGTTGGTGATGGCATTTAATGTTTGATGCGCAAGAACGATGGGTGTTACCTTATGCATTCTTTTAAATTTATGGTCGACATCTTTCTAATAATATTGGTGTTCAAGTTCCGTGACATCTTTATTTAATATGACAATGTGTAAATAGGGCATTTATTGTGACAGCTTTGAAAATGTGTAAACACCGTATTTATTGTGAAAGCTGTATTGGATTAATATTATAAAAACCTTAAATTTTTACCGTTAAATTGAAAAAAACTATAATATTTTTTTTATTATTGCTATCGACATAACTTTCTCACAAAATTATCGTTCTAGCCCATTTAACCAGTTTCATGGTTAATTTTTTTGCAAAATCAATCCTAAAATATTCAAATTTAGTCCCTGAGGTTTGCAAAAAATGACATAGCATGATTTTTTTAATTTTATTTTTCGTTTTTTGTATACTTTATTTTAGGGTTTTTTTATAAAAATATATACATTTTATTTTCTTTTTTTATATACACTTATTTATTTTCATTTTTCTTTACTTTTCAACAGTTGATTTTTTTTACTTTTAGTTTTCTATTTTTTAGTGTATATATAGAGTATATTATAGTTTTTTTTTTCATTTTTCTTTTCGTATTATATTTTTAATTTTTTCATCTTTTTGTTTATTTATTTTTTCTTATTTGTTTTCCAATTATTTGTTTTTTTTTTTTTTTTTTGTATTTTTAACTTTTTTGTTGACCTTTTCCGAAATATGTAAAATGTATTAATATATTAGAGTGTATTACAATTTTGATAATTTATAGTTTTTGTATTTTTTTTTTTCAAGCAAATAATATAGTTATGTTTATATTTGTAATTTTGGTCCAACTTATTTTCTTTTTATTCTTTTTTTCTTTAGTGTTATTATATTTATGTTACGAAAAAATGAAAATTAAAAAATTAGTTTGTTTATTGAGAATTATTGTTTCAATGTGTTATATAACTTGCAAATTAAAACATATTTATATATGTGATATTAATAGTTTAAATTGAAGATAATATCTTTCAATTTGATAATAGACTAAAAGAAAGAACAAAAAAAAATATAATAATAGTCGGTCTCTATAAACAAAAACTTGTTATAGTAATTTAAATTAAATTAAAGTTTGTTTACTTGAATCAAAATAAATAAAAACATTAAAAAAAAACATAAATAACTAAAATAGAAAAAAAATAGAAAACAAAAGGTAAGAAAAAAATGTTGAAAAATAAAGTTAAAAAATGAAAATAAATAAAGTATATAAAAAAGAAATAAAAAATGTATATATATTTATAAAAAAAAAACAAAAAAAAATGAAAATAAATAAAGTTTACAAAAAACGAAAATTAAACTTAAAAAACCATGTGGTGTAATTTTTTGCAAACCTCAGGGATTCAATTTGAACTTTTTAGGCCTGGTTTTGCAAAAAAATTAACCAAATTAACCATGAAACTTGTTAACAGGATTAGAGTGATAATTTTGCGAGAAAGTTGTGACCAAAGCAATAATAAAAAAAATATATTAAGGTTTTTTCCAATTACACGTTAAAATTTTAGGACTTTCATAATATTAGTCCTAATGTATTTTAAGGCTAAGTTAAAGACTTTTTGTAAGGCTCGGGAGTAAGGTGGTATTTGCTTGGCATTTGTATGAGGTCGGCCCTAAGGGTGTGTAAAAAGTGCATTTGCACAGGGCTCCGAAAAAATAGGGTCCGATTTTTAGCAAAAATTATCTAATTAATATGTGAGATGCAGTTTTAGCTACTCATTTAGTAGCAAAAATAAAAACATTTTTTGTTTGAAAAATAAATAAATAAAAAATTCGATTTTTTTTTCAAATATTATTTTCGGAATATATATATAAACCTGAATATATATATATATATATATATATATATATATATATATATATATATATATATATATATATATATATATATATATATATATATGGGAAGGTTAATGCGAAAAATGCAAATAATCTGCGAAAACAAGAAAAACATATGAGATTGTGCCAGCTCAACATTATATTTTAGACAATAATTCATCCAAACTTAGAAATACATTATGATAGTCGATAATAGATGAGAAATTATTTCATATTAGCAAAGTATGATTTTTGACATTTTTATTATGAAAACGTGAATTTAAAAATGGTTAAGGATGTGAAAAAAAAGTAATTGTTAAAAACGTTTTTAAATCTATATTATCATAACACGATCCAATGTAAACTTATTATCTTTAATTTATTGCTAATAAATTTATTTTTTATAGTACATGTGTTTGATTTTTATAAGATAAATCTATTTTCGCAAGATATTTATGTTTTCGCATGAACCTATATATATATATATATATATATATATATATATATATATATATATATATATATAAAATAGTATTCAAATAAATAGATAAAGTTACAGGAGCTCTACGGGCCAAAGCGATTGTCATTAACTTTCTTTTTCTGTTTGGCGTTGTTTCGATCCCCTCAGATCTCATTTTTATATCTTTCTTTTAAATAAATAAATGAAATGCGATTGCTTTTGCATTGACTTTTACATCTTTCTTTTAATATATATTTTATTTTTATAAGTTACTAGTTTGATCTCTCTAGATTGATAAATTCAATTTGATTTCATGTAATCAATTTTATATTCGCACTAGGCCTTCAAAAAATTAAAAAATCGCTCTGTTTGTATGTCCCGAATGGCATACATCACCCCTAAAAAATAGTATGATAAAATGGCAAACTCAAATGGCATGTTTATGCTAATGTGTATGTATACGAGAGAGATAGATAGATAGATAGAGAGAGAGAGAGAGAGAGAATGTGTGTGTGTGTGAATGTAAGTGTTTTTTTCAAGCTGACCTACCCTTTAAAAATGGTATGTCATGGATCTCGTTTGACAAAAATAACGTGATAGTAAGGTGGCTAGTAACAAGCTGATGTGGCAGCATAAAGTTACTGATGCGTTTATGTATTATCAATGCATAACTGACTCGTAAACAAAAACTCATGTGTCTCTATTTCAAGAATATAAGATATTATCGTCTCTAAATTACTCGTGATAAAATCCATGAAGTAATTCACTGAACGTGGGTTTAATCCAATACTCAAATTCCTATTTTAGAAGTACTCATGAACACTGCAGCAAACATTTACTATGTCTAAGCACTTAAAAAATCTATAGTCGGATTCATGACAATCTTAATTCACTACTTACTTCCAAAGTTTGATCGACCGTGGATGTTTGAATAACCTAGTTATTCGGGAAGTAAAACATGCGAAGTGAAACACAAGAATAATCTAATTAACTATGGTCTCAAAACTTTTGAATATAAATAAAACACTTATAATTTAATCAACATATTAATCAGACTTTATTCATTGTATAATGTTTCGAGTAATCAACTTAATACTTGAATTAAAAACATTTGTCATGCCATGCTCCAAGCATGCACAATATGTTTGTCTATGGTCCTTTATTTGTGAAACATATCAATTAAACACATTTCCAATGATGCTTATTTCACAATTCTTAATCCTTATTACAAGTGTAAGAATACCAAATTCTTGGATTGGGGAAAGTCACAAGGTTACCAATAAGCTAGTAACTGATTTTGTTTTATTCAAGTATGTCATTACCATCGTTTCAGTAATGACTAAGAAGATGATTGTTATTCCGACCCTAGTGGTCATATCAATTGAGTCCGATTATGTTGAGTATGTTATGTGGTTTGGCGAATCAAGTTCAATGTAGCGTCTAACTTAAGACGAAAGATTGAAATAAAAAGCGATCAATAGAGGTATCACGAAAGGTTGCTTGTAGCTAGAAATGCTACCTTTTAAGATGTGGTTAGAACATGAAGGAAGGTATAGTCTGTTCTGGATTTTGACTCTAAAAGACCTGAGTCCAAGCGATGCATCATGCGATGGGAGGTCATTAGAACATGACCCATCGGTCTATTATGATAATCGAAGGAAGAAACTTATCTTAAGTTTGTTAAAAGAAGGAGTCTCCAATAAAGTTTTAGATCGCACCATGACAATAATGATTTGGAATTCTAACATGAGATAGAGAGCGGGTCCAAGATCGGGCACCACCTGCAGTCAGGAAGTCTTAAAGTTAGATACTCATTCGAAGAAACATCAAAGTTACGGTTATTACTTAGGATGAAGAGATAACGTATGGAGTCATCATGTGAGTCCTGTTTCGTTGATGATTCCGGGACGTAATCATCCTAAG